CGGACGGACGTACGACGGACGACAACCCATGGCAATAGCTCAGCTTGACGATGTCAAGGGGAGCTAAAAACAGTACCTTCGATTTTGCACGACACAGGGGCTAGTATGCACATGTAATAAACTGCCCATGGCACATAGGAGATATTGCCATAAATGAAGAAATACAACCTCCCTTTTTACAATCTATTAACAGGCACTGTTTACTCATACAGACTAGGCAAGGCCATAATAAAAATATTGTTTGTTTGCCTTCACCCGACCGACCCACCAAAAAGGGGCCGACTCAAAATTGTTCATTGATCTTTCCCATTCTTCTTTTTTTTACATTATATAAATCTGTAGGCAATACATTGTATGTACCAAGCAAAACAAACATTCAACATAAAAGGTATCTCTACACAAGCACACCCGATCATGTAGACACTGTGCTGAATTTGTAAAACAAGTGCCGCAGAGCGACAGCGCTCAACTGACGTGTACTGTAGCCGGGTATTCTTCTGATAAACTCACTGGCAATCGAATCAAGTGTGCCCTCCCGCCACCGCATTCGTGCTCAGAGCATATATCTAGGATACTACTAATAGAGATCTAAAATCTATGATAGCTAGGCTTTGCTATACCGGTAGTACAGTAATAAAGATACAGCTGTGTAACTTTAATGACTTCGCTAAATTAACATGTTATCATGGATATGCGTCGAGTGCGAGCATAGTGGTGGTGATGGGGGCGGAAGGAGGGGGCTCTGATAGCAAAAGCAGTTGCCGCGAGATGGCGCGTGCAAGTGCCATCAATATTCAAAGATGGCATCGCCCTTCGTGCGTGATAACCTCACTCCATTGAGTTGCTGAAATCCTACCGGCTAAAATCCAAGTATATTCAGGCAGGCGAGAAATTCGCTCAGCTGTGAGTTAACACATCTGCATTGCAGGTTGCCAGGCAATAATTATGATTAGAATAGTGCCAGTTCACCCCCATGCATGCGTAATGGGCTGCCCCCATGTTTTTGCCTACCCACGGGAGCATTCAGGGTGCTATTACAGTGTGCTACTCAGGGTGCTATTACAGTGTGCTACTCAGGGTGCTAATACAGACTGCTTTAGAAAATAATATGATTTAAGGAGCGTAAACCTTGTTCAACAAACATTTGCTTTTGCAATTGAACTGTGCAACTGTAGCCTCACATCCACAATAGCAAAAGCAGTTCACTCTTTTGTTAACAGTCAACAAATCCATGTTTAACCCTCCTCTTGAGGGTCAAAAGGTTATCAGACACTTACTCTTCGCACATCAGCGGAAAGTACATTTCATGGTCCTTTCAATAAAGTGATAGAAATGGTAGGTCAGCGCTGAAACAAAAAAGTTTTGCACTCAGTCCGTAAGACCATGTCCTTAGAAATGTCTGATATCTGACCTTTCCTCCACTGCCCTTTGACCTGTGACCTCCAATTTCGCACTGGTGATGGGTTTCCTCCCCATCACACTATACATCGAATATTAAGAGCGTAGGTCGAGCCATTGAGATTTGTGCCGCAATTCAACTATATTTTTCTTTTTCCTTTTTTTTAAACGAAGAGCTAGCTTTTATATTTTAGTTTTACAACATCGGAAATACATCGGTTACAAGTCAGGGTACGGTGGGACAATGCAGGGTACGCAGAAACATATCGCATAGTAACCCGAGGTACTTTCCGATATGTCGAACCGTATCCAGGGTACCTTCCGATAGTACCCTGGGGGGACATAGACCTTATCAGCTATACTTACGCTGAGAGGGTCTATGTCCCCCAGGGTACTGCCGGAACGTACTCATTAACGAGTCTAGGGAGTCGCCTACGCCTACTCCCTGACCCTAACCCTAACCCTAACCATTTCAGCTAGATAGTTACCAGGGTACGTTCCGGTATACCGGACCGTACCCAGGGTACGTTCCGGCAGTACCCTGGGGGACATAGACCCTATGAGCTATACTTACACCATTACACGCGTGCTGTTGATGATTTCACATGAATGTGAGACTTGTGTTCCATCTATATTGTTTGAATTATGTTATATTGTAGTATAGCAGTAGGTTGTAAATATTTTTTTGACTGCGATTCTACTCTTGCCTGTAAGCCTAGCTGGTGCTTCCTTAGTGCAGCTTATATGAACAAAGGTTCAACAAGTCACTGCTGCTCCCTTGGCAACCCAGTTTTGGGTCATAGTACCTGGATAACAGTAGTAACAGTACTAGTGTAGTAAACAGAAGCATGTAAGCATGAGAGATTTTTGCAAGCAAAAATAAGACTGTGCTGGTCATAATATTTTAAGGGAACTAAAAACACTGCAGTAATGATTCATAGAGCTAAACTATGGCATTTGTGTTTGTACGTGAGCAGTGCTCATGTTGCGATGTTGGATTGGAGGAATGAAACGGTTGCAATTTGTTTAATTAGTTTATCAGGATATGCTATGTATTTTCCATGTCAATTCTTGTAGAGATTCCAGTGATCCCAGATCTCGATGAGGTTAATGAAGAGGACATGGCTAACCAGGTTGCGCAGGCTCCTAGGTAAAAAATACATTGCACAACAAGCATTACACGAAGTTACAATTCAGCCTATAAAATTCTGTGTTAACAAAAGTCTGCTGTAAACCACTATAACATTACACTGACTGCACCATAACCATTCAAGCAGGACATTGAGCATTGAGACTTTTTCAGTATGGACGTTCGTAGAGTTTCACGATTTTATTTGTAACACTATTATGACATCAATTTGCGCATATGTGCCAGTTAAGTATATATTTGAGATTGTATTTTTACATTTTTGCAGCGTCACAGTGAACAGAGTGGCAACATACAGGGAACTAGACCATGATCTGCTTAAGAATGCTGCCTTTCTTACATTGGTTAGTATATATAATTTGTAGTGCATACAGCAGCTGTGTTCAGTGAGGCTGAGAGGGTCTATGTCTCCCAGGATACTGCCGGAACGTACCCTGGGTACAGTCCGGTATACCCCTGGTACTATCTAATATGCCGGACCGTACCTCGCCTACTCCACTAACGAGTAGGGAGTCGTCTACACCTACTCCCTAACCCTAACCTTAACCATATCAGATAGTTACCAGGGTACGTTCTGGTATACCAGACTTCCGGTATTCCGGTATACCGGACCGTACCTAGCGTACGTTCCGGCAGTACCCTGGGGGGAGGGGGCATAGACCCTATGAGCTTCAGTGAGCTCTTGAGATGCTCCGGTGGTGTAGTGGTTGAGGATAAATTTGGTATTATTCTTGCTTCCTAACTCATTAGCTCTTCCAAGCATGGAGAATATTAGGGACAAGACAGGGCCATTGCTCTGAATGGGATTCAAGTCAGTGCATTTGGTCAGTATGTGATACTTCTTATGCTGCATTCAAACTGTAAAGATGTGGTTACTTGCAGGATAACGAAGTAGATCTTAAATTACTCACCAAGTGCTTGCAGCCTGAATTTGAGGTCGTTGAGGTAAGTCTGCTTCATAATTCATAAGCACTAAATAGTCATCAACCCAACCGTCTTATAAGCTGCATGGAACAACGATAAATAACCAGGGCTATGTCTGGGATATTTGACGCACGTAACTTTTTATAGTCCATAAATTTTCATTTCTTAGTGTTCAGTTTTTAGCTCATCTGACATAGTCAGATGCAGCTTGTAGAATCGCATGATCGTCCGTCCGGTCGTCCGGTCGTCCGTCCGTCCGTCCGTCAACAGTTGGGCACAAATCTTAACCGCTTGACGTACGGTCACGATATTCGGGTCGTTGGGGGGGATCGTCAAAACGAGTTGGGATGTCGAAGCTGGGGGTCAAAGGTCAAAGGTCAAGAGGTGTAAAGGAAGGGGGAACATTCACTCCTTAACTTAAGGTATAGGGAGGAAATGCAGAATTGCGGCACAAATCTAAACGGCTCGACCTAGGCTCGTGATAGTCGGTGTATAGCATCATGGTAGGAAAAGCCATCACTGTGCCGAAATTGGAGGTCACAGGTCAAAGGTCAATGGGCACAGGGCAGATTTTAGACATTTTCTGAGGACATGGTCTGACGGAGCGATTGAAAAACTTTTTTGTTTCAGCGGTGACCTAGCATTTTTATGGCTTTATTGAAAGGACCATGAAATGTCCCTTCTGCTGATATGCGAAGAGTAAGTGTCGGATAACCTTTTGACCCTCAAGAGGAGGATTAAACATGGATTTGTTGACTGTTAACAAAGGACTAAACTGCTTTTGCTATTAGAGCCCCCTCCCCCCACCTTCCCCCTTCCCCCTCCCCCCACCTTCCCCCTACCCTCCATCTGCGATAGTGGGCGTGTCCTAACAATGATGTGTACGCAACTGCGTGTCTGCATATCTGCGCCTAACAAATGTGGTACTACGCACGACTGAAATTTTACGTTTATAATCGTAGCAACAGACCTCAGATGAGCCCAGACGCTCTGCGGCTCTTGTTTTCTACTTTATTTCTTTCACCTGTCACTTACCTGCTTATTCGATCGCATGTATTTTGTACGTCTTTTGTAGGAGGATAAGCCATGGGAGTGGGAACGACTCTTCACCGAAGTCTCATCAGAGCTAAACCTGGAATGGGACAGGGCACAAAACTACAACAATGATGAGGTGGAATGATCGTAAGGCATTCTCTGCTTTGTAACTCTTACGCACCAACGTGATTCACCTGCATCTTCATCTGGCTCTTGATGCCATGATGTCATGATCCCCATTATATTTTGACAAGCATTATAGTCATGAACACGAACAGTGAGGAAAGGATGATCTCTTCATAGTTGTTTACCTTTGAACAGAGATGCCTGCTTATTATTCCTGGCAGTACTATGAAACTATTTGGGTAGTGGGATCTCAATCCAAGTTTCACAAGGTTGTCTGTAACAAGAACTTACATTTTTTATCAAATATCTTACTGTTTCTCAGAATGGAGACTAGATGGGACAGTGTTTTAAGAATGCGTTAGACAGACATGTTATTTTATAATTTATTTAATTTAATTCTGATTGGCATGTATTACCTTTAGGAATGATCTGGAATATTGTAAAGTATGCTTTAGAATAAAAGCAATACAAACAAACAGACAAACAAACGTAGAAGTTGTTTGTAATAGATATGGATATAATATCATGAGTTTGTCACTTGTCATTTCATGTGTACACTGACAAACTTTCTAATAGTAGGTGAGTACTCTAGTAAGAGTTAATTATATGAGTCTATACTAGGAAATTACTACTATTATCTAATCCTGATTATATGCATGTTAATACTCGCAAACGAGAGTGGGAGACACTTGAGGTGTGGTTACAGGCTTCATGCATATGCAGCAATATATGTCACAATCAATAGTGGCTGTAGATATACTATATCAAGAGAACGTAACCTGTTCTCACGGAGCTCACGGTGCAAGTGTATATGTTCTTCATTATATTAAACACATACTCACTAAATGTGTTGCGTTTAGTGTGAAAATAGTAAAAAGCATTCCGTCCACATTGATACGTGTTATATAAATCGCACATGAATAAGAATGTTTGGTGTCTGTAAATACTGTGTAATTACTGTATAAATACTATGTAAAATAAACATTCAAGACGAAAAATTGTCACATACCTTCTTATACATGTACCTCACATCTATTAAGTGTAACACAGGTAATTGCAATCATCACAAAAGAATCGGCTGGTGCACGTTTATATTCGTTACATGCCCTGTCGTTGAGGAATTACTATGAAATATTAAAGATGCTATAATAACAGCAAATAAAGAGCAAAGAAACAGCCTAGATTGCCTTTTTATACACCTCTACATTACATAATCTTCATGAAAATCAGTTGTAGGTAAGTTTGCTTCGAAATTTGTGTTATATTAGACTGGAGGTGCTCTGACGGATAGAAATTTCAGCTAGGCTGCTTTCTTGCATTTTACAGTTCAGCTACAGTTACAGAGCAGTTACAAAGAACCATAATGATTTCCCCTGCAACATGATAACTTCCACGTGCCTTTTCAAACGAAAAAGTGTGATATACGACTTAATATGAAAGTGCTTGAAATATAAAATATATTTTAAACTAGTTCATACAAAATCTCCACTATACGATTGGGTACGAAATATTCAACTGTTACAACCAACCAAGATTTTGTGGGGATAGACTGCTATAGCAATGTAAATGTTTTACTAGGTCACAGCGGTAATTTGAACTATAAATAGATGCAAATAAGCAAAAATAACATGGTGGAAATGGCACAGTGGCATAGTAAAGAGATTCTATATACTTATGCCTGTACTATACATACTAATAGACTGTTAGAGCCCATCAGGCTCTGGAGAGCACCGCCTAGTTCAACAGAATCCTCTGCAAATATCACGTGTTACTAGTGGATGAGTAACAAACTATAAGCACTTGCTAGAAAACATACCATTAATATAAATTTTACACTAATGACGATGAAGGTAAGTGGCTAGTTCAAAAAATTGGCAAGGCGAAAGTATACAGTAAACCTTTAAAGTTATAGCTCTAGCGTTTGCTTAGGCATTTGTGGTCCTCATTGAGATCGTAACCACAGTAACCAGGATATGAACCTGATTGAATGTCGTTTTCTAAACGCTGCCTTGCTGAAATTTATGAACTGCCATGATGAGCCATTCCTGGTGGGAGCTTCATATAAAAATATTCTCTGTGCAAATATTTTCAAGATGACTTTACACTACAGCTACGCAAGGTTTATTATTTCCATATACTACAGATATCTGGTATTTGATTGCAACCATTTGCATAAACCAAACACTCCTTACATGCAATTTTAAGATGTATACTGCACATCTCGACACATGCATGCATTAAACATTCGTGTACATGCTGCGTTTGTAGGAATATTGCTACCATTCATGTAACATCTTTTTATGAGCTCCACTACAATTTTCTAACAAGCCTAGTGCAAACCTATACCTCATTCTACCAACCTCAGCAGTGGATCAAGAGGGAGTGAGAGGTAGTACAGCTGGCAGACGTGTTGCCAGGATGTGCACTTCTTATACATACATACCTCAGCATACTTCTTATACATACATACAATATGTATATATATATATATATATATATATATACATATTACTTGCAACACATCTAAGATCAGTTTCTATTTCCACAATTTTACTGCCTTTGCTACATGTCTCATGACTTTACTATATATCTTATTACCACATGCCTTTTTACTATGTCCAACTGTGCACCTTGCCATATACCTGCCCATGTGGTACATATATATCAATAGTACCTCTTCTCTGAAAGGCAATTCTATACATCTTTTAATAATGCACACATAACCATAGACACTTTACGTGCCAACGCTTTACAGCCTTCCCTGTTCCCATCTAGTGAAACCGAATCCTTCACCAGCAGGATGTACAGGATGTCACACATTTGCACAGGCGCTCGCGTGCATGAAAACGCCTATATGCACTATACACACAATGTGTATACACTGAGTACTCAATTAGGATTATGCAACCTGTATGCACCTGAACTAATACATATATGAGCATATACATATATACATATATACATATATACATACATATATACATATATACATACATATATACATACATATATACATATATGCACACATATTTGAGCTGACTTAGTTTTCACTGATAGAGAACGTCAGAGTCACCGGGCCGGAATCGCAGGTAAATGATTGAACTTCACAGTATGTATGCACCTCAACATACACGCACACATGAACACACACACGAACGCACTCACGAACGCACTCGCGCATGCATACACACAGACACACAGACACACAGACACACACACACGCACACACGTGAGGTGATTAGTTTTCACTGGTAGAGAATGTATAAGTCAATGGTACTGTGGAGTGCAAATGGTTGGATTCCCACCAATAAGCATGCACCTGTTCACAGAACACACGAGCGCAAGCCGACGCAATTCTCACTGGTAGAGAATGTCAAAGTGACCGGGCCTGTAAAGCAGGTACACCTGAGGGGTGCACTCCTCCGGAAAGTCATGGTGGTTAACCTCAGTCTTGCCGAAGGTCTGGCTGCGGTCCATGTACTCTATGCGAACGCCAATACCCGTTGTAGAGGTGAGAGCGATGATATGAATCTGGTCACTCTCCTTTGCCATAGGCTCCACTTCCTGCAGAAAAACCGTACCTTCGATTTTGCACGACACAGGGGCTAGTACGCACATGTAATAAACTGCCCATGGCACATAGGAGATATTGCCATACAGTGAGAACGTACAACCAGCCTTTTGTGACAATCTAAGTAACAGGCACTGTTTTTACTCATACACTAGGCAAGGCCGTATAAAAATATTGGTTCTCGTTGCCTTCAGCCGACGGACCACCAAGAAAGGGGCGACTCATAAATTATTTTCATTGATCTTTCCCCAATTCTTCTTTTTTTTACGATTATATTACGAATCTGTAGGCAACACATTGTATGTACGAACAGTTGAGAAAAAACTGAATAATTGGAGCACTGGTCCAGCGGAGGAGACCCAGTGCTCTGAGGAAGCACTGGTCCTGGTAAGGTTAGGAAAAAACACCACAGTCCAGAGGATTCTGTCATAGCAAAGGAATGACTCGGATGTGGGGACTTTTATAGGGGGGGAATGGTGCAATTTGGTTAATATGTGCATTCTAAGGTATTCTTAAAGATTATTTTTTTACTCGTGTTCGATACACTGATGCGTAGTAAGATCGGAACAAGTCCAAAGATCGAATCTCAAAAATCAATCAAATCAATCAAAGGATGCAAAAATCAACGGATCAAAAATCAACGATCAAAACATCAAAGATCAGGGTCTCTGAAGGCCGCCATGTATTCCTATAGAAGATTATCCATAGTTTAATTACACGGCGTCGCTGATCTGGTCGGAATGGCCCAGTATTATCGAATTAGCAGAGGTTAAACAGCATGACCTAAGAAAATCGAACAAACAAACATGGAGAGTTTGGGTGTATTCCGCATAAACTTTAGGCGTTCGGAATTTGGAGCTATTTTTAGTCTATATTGATGATTAAATGTTACCATTGATTGTCAACATAGAAATAATGAGGAAGGTCAGTAGAGAAGTAACAGAAATGAATCAGGCCACAATTAAACAATGTTGTTTGTTTTGCCCTCACCCGACCCCCAAATAAATAGTGTGGTTGTTGTTTTTTGAGGGTTTTACAAATTCAGGCAATGGTGTCTACGTGCTCAGGTGTCTGTTGTGTGGAGATACCGTTTGTAATGTTTGCTATAACGATTTATATAATGTGACATTTGTACAGGTGATACAATATACATTAAATATACTTTTAACACTTGTGTTTTATATCAGAGCTAAATTGTGCATGATTTTATTTCAGTAACGTAAATGTGGAAATAAGAAGCATACAAATCAGCGAACTGTGAATTAAGAAATAATAAATATCTTTTTACAGCATTATTATGTCTTTGGAAGGAAAATAAGAGTTGAATGCTGTCAGAGTTAGATCATAAATTATGTTATTTAATATCTAAATTATAATATAGCGATCTTCGCAGGATTCCAGCAAAAGGTTTTGCTGTCCAAAAGTTGTGTAGATTACTCCCAGAAAAAGAGATGCGTGGTTCCGTCGTCATTCAAGGTGGGCCGGCATATGTAATAATGAACATGCCACCCTGGCACGCAGCTGAATAGTGAAGACATCAAATAAGCACGTCGCCCCTCCCGCCCTATGTCAATCAAGTGCCCCGCCAGAACGAGGTACGCGGCCTGTGCGTAGCTCTAGTACTATAGCCCGCGTAGCAGTTGGCCAGCAGGGCTGAATACAAGATTAAAAATAAGCATAGCAATGTATAAGTTCGGACCCCTTTCGGTCGGATAAGTGAGGGCAAGACAAACAGACATTTTTATTATGGCCTCAGTTTGGTAAATGGGTTGAGGTGTGTGGCCTGGTGCGGCGATATGTAGTACCCGCCGCGCAGAGTAACAGAGCGTGGAACGGTAGAAACGGGAGGAAGAAGAGGACAGAGCAAGTCGACCAAGGAGACGGCCGGCGCGGCCCGAGAGAAGGAGAAGAGGGGGAAGAGAGGTGAGGGGAGAGAAGAGAAGAGACGGAGAAGGTAGGCAGAAGCACCGACCGGGGGAGAAGGTCGAGGAATTTCTTAATGCGCAGCACTGGCGACTGGGCGAAGGCGGCAAGGAGTATGTTTCTCACGCTGACCAAACGCACAACAAACATTTGCAACATAAAAGGTATCTCCAACACAAGCACACCCGACGCCATGTATGAGACACTGGTGCTGAATTTGTAAAACAAGTGCCGGCGGCAGAGAGCGACAAGCGCTCAAACTGAGGGCGTGTAACTGTAGCAAAACCGGAGCTAGGATGATAAGTGATAAGACCGTGCTCCGAGCCAGGTTGTGGCACCTCAAGAAAGGAGATCAGGGAAAGGGGGAGCCGACCCGAGAACAGGAGCGAGGAAGAGACAGTAGGGAGGACGTCAGGACCGGCCCCGAGAGAGCGGGGCGGAAAGGGGCAAGGCCAATAGAATCGGGGAAGGGCGAAGTTGGGGAGAGCATGTCGGTGCTCGCAAGAAACAGAAAGGTAAGCAGAAGGGGGGGGGGGGGAGGCGAAAAGAGGAATGAACGGGACGGGCAATAGTATATGGATAGAGCTAAACTGACAGGGATACAATAAGCACTCATCAATCGATAACTCAGGCTTTGGCTATACCGTAAGGCAGAAGGGGCGCAGTAAGTACAGTAAAATAAAGATTACAGCTGTGTAACTTTAATGACTTCTCTATATTTAACATGTTATCATTGGATATAGCTCGAGGCGCTGAGAGAGAAGTGGTGTGAACCGGGAGGAGAGAGCGGTGGGGTGCGCACGCGAGGAAGGAAGGAGGGGGCTTCTTAGAATAAGGAAAAGCAGTTGACCGGGGGGGAATAGGGAGAGGCAGAGTGATGCGCAGATGGGCGCGTGCAAGTTCATCAATAACAAAATGGCATCGCCCGTTCGTGGAGGGGGGGTAGTGAGATAACCTAACGAGTGTGAAGGGTGTGCTATGAGAGCATCCTAAACCGGCTAAAATCCACAGTATAATTCAGGCAGCGAGAAATTTCCTCAGGGCTGTGGTTAACACATCTGCATTGGCAGGTTGCCAGCATATAATAGTGATGAAATTAAGGAATAGTGCCAGTTCACCGCGCGATGCATGCGTAAATGGGCGCTCCCATGTTTTTGCCTAACCACGCGAGCATTTAGGGTGCTATTACAGTGTGCCTATCACGGGTCCCTAATAAGCACTTCTTTAGAATAATATGAATTTAAGGCGCGTAAAACCGTTGTTCAACGAAACATTTTCCTTTGCAAATTGAACTGTGCACTGTAGCCGTCAATCCACAATAGCAAAAGCAGTTCACTCTTTGTTAACATTGTAAAAGATTATGTTAACCCTCCGTCTTGAGGGTCTGAAAAGGTTATCGAGACACTTACTCTTGGCACGACCTCCAGCGGAAAGTACAATTTCATAGGTCCTTTCATAAAGTGTTAGAAATGGTTTAAAGGTCAGCGCTGAAACAAAAAAAGTTTTCACTCGGTCCGGTTTAGAGCCATGTCCTCAGAAAATGTCTGATATCTGACGAGCTTTCCCCTCATTGCCCCTTTGACCTGTGACGCTCCAATTTCTGCACTGGTGATGGGTTTAATCTCCCAATCACTGCTATACAGATATTAACGAGGTTAGGTACTAAGCATCTGAGATCTGTGTGCCGCAATTTCCGGTATTTCTCCTATAACCTTAAGTTAAAGGGGGACAATATTCGCCTTCACATTGAACATCTTGACCTTTGACCGCCCAAATTCGACATCCTATCTCCTTTTCGCGATTCCCCCCCCTGACGTTCCAAATATCAAGACGGGTAACGTCGAGCGGTTCAAAGATTTGTGCAAGCAACTGTTGAAAAGACGGACGGCTGGACGGCACGGACGGACGGATGCGATTCTACAAGCTGATCTGACTTCGTCAGCTGAGCTAAAAAAGAAGCCTACCTACCTACCCAAACTTTTTAGCCTGGGTCGGGTGAGGGCAAACAAAGATTTTTTTAATTGTGGCCCAATATATCTGCATTGGTAACTGTACATACCTGGTGGCAGAACTCCTTAACAGTCCTTTCGCCCTCGATAAAGCTACGGAAAAAGGTAGCTTCCTTCTGCAGGTAGCCTGATGTCAGCAGCCTACAAACATCAAGGCAAGTGACGATAAGTTTCAAATGTTAGAGTTGTAGTCAAACATACAACAATAGGACTTTAAAGGCATACTAGGCCCATTGATTTATGGCAATGTTGGACGAATCGCTAAGTAATGGCACCTTGTGTAGTTAATAAGGTACATAAACCTTAACATCCAAACCGCGATTAGTTTGTCCAATACACTGCTGGTTACTAAAGAAAAATGTCCTGCTTGAAATCGCGCATCGGCAAGAAATCAGTATGTTTTACAGTTCAAATCCCCGCCAAACGCTGCCGGCGAAGCGAGTGTGATACAGATTTATAGTTCACCGGACATTTTCGAACGCATGCTCGGCCGTACGCAATGCTATCATATGTAATTTCGTAAACACGGATGCTCGTGACAAGGAACTTTTTGTCAGGGCTGTCCATGTGCGTCCGTGATTAGTACGTGTGTTTTACTCCATTTCCATGTTTAGTCCGTGGCCGTGATTACACCGCTGACACCTCCATTTCATCTGGCGTCCAAAACATACAGGCCGCACAAATGTTTACGTTATCGCTTGACTCCTGAATGACATTTACGGCACGTAAATGAATATCAACAACCGATTTCAAGTCTTGCTTGTAATGTAACCAGCAGTGATATTGGACAAACTAATACGCATTTGGCTATAAGGTTATATGTACTTATTAACTACACAAGGTGCCAGTTACTCTAGCATTCGTCAACATTGCATAATCAATGGGCCTAGTATGCCTTTAATATAACATGGTGTAAAAAATGTTCATCACTTCCAATAATGTTGGAAATATCTGCAATTTAATCAATTGTTTAATCTCATTCCTAATCAATTAATATTCTGCTATCAACTGCACAAACAATCTCACGTACTGACGTAAGTGGATCCTACACTCGGAATACTTCTTTACACGTTTACACTGAATGCCAACTATACCTCAGATATACGACAATGTAGTCAGAAAATCCTTGATCATTAAAGACGTTCAGTAGATCTTCCACAGCAATTCCAGACTCCACCTTCTCCAGCACTTCCATAAACTAAAACATAATCCAGATTTTTAGCAGTGAAAGATACCATACACAAATCACGATGACACTGACCACAACAACCGAGAGACGCCAGTAAATAGTCTTCTAGACAGTAAATAGTGTTGACGGCAGTTATTGACAGTATTTCAAATCGTCTAGATTTTTGAAAATTTAGCCAACGTAATAACATTCTTATCAGGTGAGAGTTTGAGGATATATTTAGTAACGTTAGTACTAACTTTTGATGTTAAAAAAATTACAAAAGTAAGGTTACAACCATAACTCTCAGGAGATTCGTGACGTAGACAATTTAAATAGATCCAATTTTATTTTAAATAGATAAATTTGTTAACAGAGGCAAACTCAGAAAGACTAAATCAGGTGACTATTCCTATTAGTTCACAATGGCTAACTTTAGATGTGATAGAAGAATATATGAAGTTAGATTAATTAGGTCAGTACATATAATGAATTTATACTAACAGTGCTATGAAAGTCATCAATCGTAAATTCAGGAAATCCAAGTTTGACCAGCTCGCTCTTGCTCTGTGCTGCCATTGCTTTGAACCTGGATATTAAATACATTTGATAACAAATAAGATTATGCATACACACCCTACAGATCAAGCTATGCTCACGATATGAGAAAAAAATAATATACCACTTGCAATATGCACTTGGCATTTATATATATGCAGGATTAGAGATATGAGAATGTCACTGTATGTTTTTTATATTTCTATATCTGTCCTTCCCCATCTCTTCTCTGATAGCCTATACCTACTTCTTTAGATCATCAGGCTTCCGAAGTAACTGTTCCATGTAGTAGTAACCAAAGGCTCTGAAGAAGCAGTTGCCATCACCTCTCGTCCTGCGCAGACACTTGTAGTGTTTCTCAAGATGCTGTGTGATTAAAGCAATTTAGTTATGATTTATTAAAAACTTTTCTCCATACTATTAGCTAATACATTAAAACAAGTGCCGCGGAGCGACAGCGCTCATCTCACGTCTACTGCGGTGACTCTGTGGTGGAGTGGTGGGATTCTAGTAAACCCTGTTAGTCCCAAATGTGTTCACATTCGCGCCAAAACAGTGGAAGGCACAGGGATGGTATCAGGAACCTTCTCGAAGGAATGTTTGTTGGGATCGTTATGAAAGTTGCCACAAGATTGCGCGTACGTTTAAGTGTCTTAAGATTAAAGATGGAAGCTCCCATCGTACGTAGTAGCAACAACTATTAGCAAGACAGAATAGGTAAGCACTCATCCATTTACCTACGCAAGCCTACAGGCTGCTGTGCTCTGTCAACGGTTGGGCACAAATCTTAACCTCCGACGGTACGGTCACGATATTCGGGACGTGGGGGGGGGGTAATCCGAAAACGAGTTGGGATGTGAAGCTGGGGTCAAAGGTCAAGAGGTGTAAAAGAAGGGGAAACATTCCCTCCTTAACTTAAGTATAGGAGGGAAATGCAGATATTGCAGCACAAATCTAAAGGGCTCGAACCTAGGCTCGTGTATAGTCGGTGTATAGCATCATGGTAGGAAAAGCCATCACTGTGCCGAAATTAGAGGTCACAGGTCAAAGGTCAATGGGCGCACAGGGCAGATTTTAGACATTTTCTGAGGCATGGTCTGACGGAGCGATGAAAACTTTTTTTGTTTCTACGGTGACCTCCCATTTTTATGGCTTGTTGAAAGACATGAAAATGTACTATTTCCGCTGAAATCGAAA